GAATTTATGATTATCACCTCAAATTCGAACCCCCCCCCCAGGAAAGAAGAACAAACAGACCCCGTAACAACATCCTCTGGTTTAAACCCCCCCCCCTTCAGTAAAAATGTCACTAACAGCATCGGGAGAAGAATCCTCGCCCTGGTTGATAAGTGTTTTCAACAGGTAAACAAACTCAGGAACATTTTCAGCCGTAACACCATCAAATTGAGCTACAGTTGTACGAATAGCGTGAAGCAAATAATACTCCCAGTACCGAGATCAACAGATTATGTAACTGCCGTAAGAAATCTGAATGTCCCTTAGACGGAAATTGTTTACAATCGGCCTTGGTTTACCAAGCTAATATATACCATATATGATTGATGTGTCATACAAGCAACATGACCAATCGTCTACCTGCAGATATCCTGTTTTTTTTTTCAAAAATACAAAAAGGCCGACAGACCACATTACCAATCGAAGTTTAATTCATGCAAGACGAAGTTGATAAAAAATCTCGCTTCGCACCAATTGATCAAGTAGATCCTTGGTAAATAAATGATCACTTTGTATATGTTAGGGGACAAACCATACCAGCTTTCTAACTAGTTTTATCTGTTTTCACGGAATCCAATTAAAGACAACGGCGTTGCCGCTAATCAAGTATGCACTAAGTTGTCTGATTCATTACAAACAACGACACTGATTTGGACATGTGGATTAAAAAATATATTAAGAATAATTTACAAGGAAATGTATTCCGTATGCACATCAAAAATAATAATACTCGTTGCAGATTATGTTAAAACAATTTAGAAAAATGAATAAGTTTTGTGGTTATTTAAGCTGTTTTGGATCATAAACCAAGTGTACGTGATGAGCATTCCGCCTACACTGGATACAGTGCTGAATTGTATAATTCAGAGAGTATTTTCAATAGGCTATTGTTGTATAATGAATAAATCGGCGTAAGGTGACACTTATGTCGTATGGTTGTGAGTAGGCGTAACACGAAACTGAACCGGGAAATAACCTTTGATAACTCGTTTATCAGTCTGAATAAGAGTGATATTGGAAATTGTTGATTTGACGAGAATAACACTATTTGGTTTGTGAGTGTCTATTCCTGTTGTGAAGCCAAGTCGTGCCTGAAGACAAGTTTACACAATAATATAATTAACAGATCATAAATGATAAGTCTAACTGTGAAATCCTCACTGTGATGTATAATGAATAAATCGGCGTAAGGTGACACTTATGTCGTATGGTTGTGAGTAGGCGTAACACGAAACTGAACCGGGAAATAACCTTTGATAACTCGTTTATCAGTCTGAATAAGAGTGATATTGGAAATTGTTGATTTGACGAGAATAACACTATTTGGTTTGTGAGTGTCTATTCCTGTTGTGAAGCCAAGTCGTGCCTGAAGACAAGTTTACACAATAATATAATTAACAGATCATAAATGATAAGTCTAACTGTGAAATCCTCACTGTGATGTATGAGCTGACATTTAAAAAAAGTCGTACTTAAAAACTGTAGCGTCAAATTTATCGGAAAAACACAATCTTATCCGATTAAAAAAACGTCATTTTACGTAGACAACTCCACATGCCGTAATTTTACTCGTAGACTGAAATACCACCTATATACATATACGAGTAGTACAATGTCCGCGTTGACAAATATCCAAAACTCGCGTAAAAAACCTAACAATGAACTAATGTATTATACATTCATCTACTATATTTAATATATAGTATATTATCAGATCGGAGCTATCGGATTTTCGTCCCGAAGGCTTATTGGAGCAAAACTCGGCACGAGACGGCTCGAACTGAACGTGTTCGGGGGTTACTATTACTGGACCCAGAGCGTGTGTACTTCTCATTACCGTCCTATCTACGGGACATATGTCTGCCATTAGAGGTATGAAGTTACCTGTCGCGGAAATTCACTTAAAACTTATGTATTAGATGTTAGTATCATCTACAATAGCAGTACCGTTATTATAAAAACTCCCAGTAGCCGAGTGTCATATTCACATCGCAAAAATGAATAACAACTTACGATATTCACAGCATGTATTATACCACTCATCCACACAACTACAACTCGATGTTAGAGGGGTACCGTGACTGTGACATCCGGGGTTGTTGCATGATTGGGATCTAGTAAGTGGATCCGTACACGAACCACCACAGCTAGCAGACGTTATCACAGTTCGGGTACTTGTTTGAGTTCCAGTCGTCCCACACGGAACGGAGCAGGCTTCCCATGAAGACCAATCGCTGACAACACAGTTACGTGGGCTGCAAATTGGTGCACGACGACGACGTCTGCTCCAAAATATTGTGTTGATACCATCGATTAGTAATAAATTTATTAGCAGCACTGTTAGACACCGTATGGGATGCATGACGGATCAAACGTGCAATGAGGTATTTTTTTATACTCACGGTACCTTTTACGCCCTCATTGGATTGACCAAGGCGAGCCCTAGAGATAAACAATACACTGTTACTGGCAAAGTAAACAATCTTGTTCCCATACGAACCGATTGGAGGGTATATCTCCCCCTCAATATTTGAAAATATGATATTCTCCATAGTTCGTCCTGTGTCGGTGTTTGACTGTAATGGTAGTGTAGTCATTTCTGATACGATCTTGTGTTTCTAAGATTGAATCTTTGAATTGTAGGTGCGTTTATGAAAGAATTTAACATACTAGTAATTAGCTCACTGCAAAGTGCCTAGTTACTTAGTTTAATCCCTCTATGTGTGTATAAGCTAGGTGTAATGAAGAATAACACTATTTTAAGCATAACAGGTCACTTACCTATTAAATAGGTTGTTGCTGGGAAGGAACACAGGTTTAAGACCACGAAACATGCTAGTTTAGTAAACACGGACACGGTTTTCATGTTGTCTAAAGTGCTTTACAAGGTTGAACCAGGAAATGACCTCCGCCAATTCACCCGAATGTTAGTGATATCGGAAATTGTAGATTTGTTGAGTATAGGGTTATTTTGTTCAACTTGTTCGTATTCATGTTGTTTTCTGAAGACCGGTTAATATATTCATTATATCAAATACGTCTGATGTGATAAATATGTGTAATCCGCACTTTAATGGCTACACGTACGCATAATATTGTTCATTAAACATAAAGTTAGCTGCGTCACCCTTTCAAGTTGTTATTTATACTAGGTAACATTGTTTTCTTTATGGGCTTATAACTGTCATTTTAGCGTCAATTCAAAGTTGTTCTTAACTATGGAAGTGCGCATGCGCTAACAATTAACAGCATACTACGTTGACCTCCTACAAAACACGAACAGTAAGTCCCACGTAACATATAATATTTATGCAATGAGGACGTGAGCAAACATTAACTTAACAACGAATAAGCATCGTTAGATCTGGTGTGACAGCAAAGTGCAAAATATTTGCTTAAATGAAGCCAAGCGTAGATAAAATTTTACCACCATGTTATCAAACAGACTGGAACTCGTCTATTCAATCTATAGAAACTCATGTGTGCATTGTTATACTACACACCGTACTTAAGTGCTGTACACGGGCTCGTGGTACATTGATTGGTTACGTAGCGAAAGGTACTGTACATAAGTATTTCAAATATATCATTTTATACTGCCAGTAAGCATACATAAGTAGTCGCCAGTATACCGACTGGCAGTTCCCATTGTCCCTCAATTATTATTGTTCTGATCTGTAATAGATCGATAAATGTTCACGCTTTAAATCGGCATTAGATTGATGTTAGACAAACTGGGACTTGCGCCAATATTGTATTATATTTGTATTAGTATGTTTAATTTTCTGTGAAAATGGCAAATACAATTGGCGTCCAATAAAATTTGATAGACAATAAGAACTGGGACTGCCTCATGTACTTCATATCCTTTGTGCACTATAAGAACTCATGCCCTCTCATCGCATGTATTTACGGTTTTCCGGCTCCGAATGCTTTAATGTAGACTCTGCAGAACCGAGGTTACAAAATCGTCTTTGCATTTTGATCGCCAACGAATACACTGTGCGTTTCTAAAACAGATTGTGTGAAACTTTTCACTTTTGTCGTTACTGTAAAAAATACATTTGAATACAACTATAAATCAATCTGTATCCTACCGTTACATTGGTATGAGTGGCAATATCCTTCACAATATTCCTGATAGTAACTGTAATAGTAGTCTGTGTAGTACTGCTGCTGATATCTATAGGACGTTCTGTATGGTGCAATAAAATCCATAAAATTAAATGATATTATTCCCTTTAGCAACATACATTAGACAGACTCACCAGTTGTAATAATGGTGTTTGTGCATGTATTCTCCAAACTAACATTCACCAAAAATAAAAATAAAATACTTTTCGAATAGAAAAGTGGCAAGCTCTCCAGTGGCTACGTTTATAAATATATTTATTTTCGTTTCTTGAACGTCCGCCATTTTGTTTGAGGTAACTGAAATCCAGATCAGAATAAATTGTGAAATGGTTTCACTTTATCCTACTCAATTGTCGATATTGGCAGACATTACTTGTTTTTATATTATTTTACGTGAAACTTTAATATTGTGAAAAGAACAAATTAAAAACTGAACATTTGTGGATAAAACGTACCTGTATCGCGTGCAGCTATCCCAGAAATTCCAAAATCCACACTGCGTCGAATACCGACTTGAGTAAGAAACTGATGTCGATCTAGACAACTGCCGACTCAAGGTACTTCGGAATGTACAACTATTTGGCCTATAAAATACAAGTGTTATAGTATTATTGTATGCCTCTCACGATGTATTGATATTGAATGTAGTAAACATATCCATTGGTATATTCATTAATATCGGTATCCGCTACTGTAAATGTGTACGTATACACTGTTTGAGAGAAAAACTTACCACGCACATGTCTGCTCTGTATAGGAAAATATATATAGGAAAAGGATGAAAACACAAACATCCGCCAAATTCATTTTGAAATGACACTAAATCGCTGTTATTGATATATGCACACCCGTATCACGGAACACCTTCACTTCACCAGACTAATCTTCGTCCAAACAATGGAGTTACTGTACTACGTAATGATTGTACGCATGCGCCAACCTCTGCCAAAATTCATCAGAATAGTCTGACCGTGTACGCCGCGTTAACGTAAATTGCATTTGCTCTGTCACGTGTGGCAACATACATCTATGAGCACAAACTATTGGTTGGTAATTGTTATGACCCTATCGATCGTTTTCAACAACGCAATACAGTGGAATAACATCCAAAAGTAGCGTCAAGCAATGAGTACACAGATTGCATATTTTCAGATGACATTTTGCCAACCCTCAAATAAAATAGACATTCGCTATATAGTAAGTAACATCTTTTTTTGCGACATGACCAACTTACAGGAATACAATTAGGTGCGGGGATACAGTTAATTGGCATAGGATCCCTGTTTTCTAACTTCCAGTGATGTTTATTTGAAGTTTTGCTAAGAAAAAGCTTTTGCTACTCATCCCTACGAAAACTTTAAATTGAGTTGTTTTCTATCAAGTTTGTTCAAAGCTACTTGAACTAGACGACTAAAGTATATTATTGAAATCTGCAGACATGATTGTCGTAAATTAAGAATGACAGAATCATTAACATTTGTTTCTCAATGCTGAGCTGATCGAAGAGTCTCAATTGCAAATTAATACAGAGCTTCATCCACAGTAGGTTATGGAGGTTTCTTCCAAGGGCTTTGGCTCAGCGAGCTTTGACCAGTGGAAATGCACTGTTTCAGAAATGATGCATTCTCCATAGCATTCTTAGAATTGTACACTATGTGGTTCTTGTTGCATTGTTGCGGGGTAGCTATTGGTTACAGAGGCATGTTAGGTACAGCTGAGATGGACAGGCTATGTTGCAAATTATTAAGAAGATAAGGACATTCTCACAGTGCAATGATATCAATAAACTTATGGCAGTCATAGAAAATAATTTCCTTATCACTGCACTATACCTACCTGAAGTTCAAAATGATATTGCTGATTCACTCTCCCATTCTCAATTGCGGATTTCGGTACCTGGTTCCCATGCTGCAGAAAACACGTGGTCCTCCATATTCCTAAGCCAAAGAGATTAGACTATTGTGGAATACATTAGTGACAGAGACGACTATACAAGTATATAAAACTGGATTATCATATTTGTTCAGATTTAATTTGCATAATGTTATGTGCTCGGTGACTTGTCTACATATGAATTTCGAGAATGTGATATTGGTCTTTGTAACGGATATTTCAGACACGTGCACTTAAGTGCGAGATCGAGATGACCTTTTACAGCAGATCTTACAACACGTTATTTTGAAACACTTAGAATACGTGTATTCACATCATACATGCATACCATAAAAGATGTTTTTTTAAAAGATGCTATTTTGTCTAATGTGCTGTGTCTAATCCATTTTTGGTTGAACACTGAATTAATTTTTTTAGCAACGTGTGTGCCTTTCTTAAACTTAAAACGGGTAACGCAGAACCTTGCCGCAAAGACATTGTCATAAATCAATGATGATCAATTGTGCCCAGTTCCAGCCTTGCATACTTACTTACTTAGCAAGCCAGGGAATGTCACCCAATTTTAAGCCAGGTGGATAGTTTTCTTACAGTATGTGCGTCAGTTATTAGGCCTTATTTGATTTGGACGTTGTTCTATACCCTAGGGCATTCATTTCGTTTGGTGCACCATCAACGGCAGACAACGTGGGTATTCCTGAAAAAAAAACTGATCATGAAGCACTTCGTCGTTGGACCTCGGATATTATACAAGACACATCTGTCTCTCAGGTGAATGTTTAAGTAATGCCGATTTTTAGGAATAATTGTTTTGCAAACGTAGTAATGTAACCTTTGGTGAAGGTTGGGAGATTATATTGAATAGTGTGGATTTATTTATTTTTGTGTGTGTATGCTGTATTTTCAGGTTAGATTTAAATATTACTTTCATTTTATTGTATTTTGTCAATTGCATCGTTTGGGGCTTTGGCTTTCAGCTTGACAACCCCTTTGTAGTTGCCATGACGCTGCTTCTACCCGCATAACTACCTCTACCACAGCTACGAGGTTAGCAAAATATCCGCCTTGCCAATAGCTGAACAGCACCGAGCAGTTTCGTAGATTCGTTCCTGATTGAATTTTAAGATGTCAGGCGGGATTCGAGTAATGGACTATTACAAAATCATCAATATTCAAAGGAAAGCGTTTTCCGTAGAGATTATTCTGAGATACCCATCACACTGGTGAGTTATTTCTTTGAGAGGCATTAGGTTCCTCTCAATTGAATTCATTCCACAACTGTTTACTCCTCTTATCACAGTGCTTGATCAGCGAACGTCGAAATTAGTTTGTATTATTTCTTGGGATAGGTGTGTTAAACGCACTCCCGAAGCACATTTAGAACAGCAACGCATGACGGGATTGATTGTAGTGATTATCGTATTCGATAAACGGCGTAATGCGTCAGGTTTCAATCAGTTTAACTCGCGAACGCCGTAACTTTCAGATTCGATTTTTTTGCCAGAAAAGTTTTCAACCAACTTCTGCCGACAATACTACTGTAACAGGAGCTTTTGTATGTATACCTTTGACA